GAGGATATTTTAATGTTTCTGGAAACAAACCGACCCGCGCATTGTACGATACATTGTATAATGCGGTATCAATGGCGGCGACCAGGTGTGCTCCTGTCACTTCCAGGGATCGGCTAGGCGTGCATGGTGCATCCGCTCCCAAGAGCGCGTATGAGCCCGCCCATGAACCTGGTGCGTTGTGGTGTACGTAAACACGAAACGTGACCACGCCAAGACCACTGGGAAGAAGTCCGCCACGGCGGCTTGTTGAAAAGGGACGCCTCCCTGCCAATTTTTGAAGAGCCCGCAAGGGCTGATTCGAGCACGGGTTGCAGTATTTGGAGCAGTACACATTGTTGCGCTATCGCATTGCTTGCAATACTACTCGAACCCCGAACTTTCGATGAATTTGACAGCCTACAAGTCAATCTGCATTATGTGCTCGCCGTTACGCACTATTGACCAGTGACAGCTCGATGTGCATTGAACGCTACATATAAAGCCCTTTCTTTCGAAGCCCTTTTCTTGGGTCTTCAGAAGTTTCCTGAGTTTTCTTCATCTCTCACAAACTGCAACCTCGAAGGTAAGTGGCACGATAGATCGACAAGTCGAACAGGGTCGAAACGCCTAGCACGAAGGAATATTGTGCCCCTTAGCAGGCGCTGCGTAACGCCCATTCCATACAAAGGCACCGTCATAGCGCCTAACCAAGGTGAGCATGCCGACCCGGACGAACCACTGCAACAGCCGGCCCACAAATGGCTGGCCAGTCACATCGACGCTGGAACCCTTACAGCTCATTCATGAAGTACGATTGATACATTCGTTACTGCACGAATAGATAAGGGCAGCTGTACCTATCAAAGCGGTTGTTGGCAAACTCGTCCAAAGATGCTCGTGCAATACCGTGCACAGAAAGATTTTTTGCAGGTTTTTGGCCGTTTCACTTCGCCCTTTCGCCATATTCTCACTACATATCATCCATGCTACTATTTTGAGCGACTATCGAAGTATGAGGCGGAGGTGGTGTAGTGACAAGTGGCGCTCTTACCACTCGCGCGGTCCTGGGTTCAAATCCCTGTGGGTTCCCGCCCAGGCCAACGAATAAGCATTCAATAAGCCACTACGATTCTGAATGGAAGTAGAATGCGTGCCGCATCCCACAAAGGGATTGATCAACGGCGAAGACTTTATCCTTTTATCCTTTACCAGCCGCTTCGCCGGCTGACACCGGCGCGCCTCCTTCTGAGATCTGCGCGGCTCCGCCGCGCTTACCTTCTTCCACACATTTCATTAGCCGCCTAGTATCAGGCTCTTCTTTTACCTGAACAGGTGGTCAACATTCTTTGACCAATAGCATCATACCTGCTCCTTTCAACACTATTACGGTGTATGGAGTGGTGGTAAGGAGCGTTGATCAAGTGGACAGATGAGAGAAAAGCCGGGTATTAGTCGAGCATTTGATCATACGAATGCAGGTAGGCGCGATGGAGTCACGCCCCGCAAAGCCAGGGCCGTAATCACATAGAGGTCTGGAGTGCCTGGAGTGCTCTGGAACCGCTTGAGAAATTCTGAGGCTGGCCCCGCTCACCTTGACGCACGCTCCACACACAACAGGTATGACTTACACTTGTTAACCGGTGACCCCTCGATGACCTTAAACCACTTTTCCCGGTATCTGGATGGCTCTGAACACCTTCCGCGGTTGGTTATTAGATTTGGCTCCACCCACTCGGGGCACGCCCCGCCCATGAACCGCCGCTTCTCAACTAATAACCCCCTCCGCTGATCTCAAACTACTCTTGTCCCGCTGTGCTGGAGTGCTTTTTAGAACCATTTTTCGAAATTGTTTCAATTTGGCTCCACCACCTCGGTGCAGGCTCCGCCACAACGGGAGTGCCTCGCACATTCTTACATTTGATCACTTGGGGACCATAATCCACTTTTTGGCACCATCTGCAGTGATTTAGGACCAAACTACGACTTTTTATATACTTGGTAACTCGTGCTCAAATGCACGCCCCGCCCACTCTGTGGGTGGGCTTTAGCTAGCGTCAAACATGGTGGACTCTTGCCAGACGTTAATCTTCGTCATGGACTTTTCTGCGATCCCTAAACATTTTCGGGGACCGAGTTACCGACCTTTGTGGGAAGCGCCGCCCATCTCAAGTACGTCCCGCCCATTTCGGGTGTCTCTCCTCAGTTTGGTGTGGCAACCCAGTGCTAACCTGAGATTTCCACTTTTTTGCCAGTCCCGAGACTGCTTTGTAGCAAGTATTGTGATTTTCAGTGATCACGGAGCCACGCGCCCATCTCAAGTATGCGCCCCTTCGAGTGTGTCTCCTCTTTCTGGTCGGTCAGGCTTTTGTTAACTTTACTGCGCGTTTCCTTATCTCGGGACTGCTCTGGAACAGAGGTTATGACTTTTTTTCAGTGACATCGCTAACTTTAGACGCACGCCGCCCACTGTGGGCGGGGCTTACCATGGGTCATGGGTGCTATTTAGGTTTTGTCCCATGCTCTACCCATCCCCACCATGACCCGAACCTCTCCAAGTTCCTTCTGCTAATGAATTCGTGACAAAGCAGACACACACAATTAGCACATGCACACACACCACACACACACACACACACACAAACCACACGCACACGAGCATAGCTCTATTATTAGTGGATCATTATAAAGTGTCGCGCGCTTCTTCTTTGAAGCACAAAAACCTCGAATGCACAGCAATCCGACCAACGCATTACCCAAGTACAAAGTTGATGTTCAGCATATGCTTACTTTTGTGATGGTCACGCTCTATGTCACCGCTCTGTGTCTCTCTCTCTCTCTCTCCTCTCTCTCTCTTCTATTTGTCCGCTGCTTCACGCTTTTCCAGGCGATGTGCAAAATCCGTTGCGACCTTTTAGCTCACCTTTTACCGTCCCAGCTCCATGACTTCTATGCCACTTCAGATAATGACTGGCGTTAGAGCGGAGGTGGTGCAGTGGAAAATGGCACACTCACCAGCGCAGTGGTGTCAATTCGGGATCGGCTTTTTTCCTAGGCCAACCAAACCTTCTTACTCTAGAGGTAGATTGCGTACAGATTTGTGTTAGAGATGAGAACACTGACTGGCTACGCAAAGTTTAAGAATAGAAAGGCCACTCGCATTCACTAAGCAATTACGATTCTGAATGGAAATAGAGTACGTGCCGCATCCCAAAATGGGGCTGTTCGACGGTGGAGACTCAATTTTCATACTGCGCTCAGGTCGTGAGTTACCATAGACTATTAGTAGTGCACCCGCTCGGAGAGTGTGAAATTTGGCACGTCAAGTCACGTCACTTCAAGACATCTGCCATAACTCAGCATTCTTGTGATAACTTTCTGAGGGCGAAGTGAGGTGTTCAGCTATTATAGAGCAGGAAAGGCTATGTTGCGGCTTTAGTCGGAAACTATCTCCAATGAGGCCACATCGACCTACTGAAGTTTGTTTCTGCGACACGGCAATGCTCTGGCGTCTACGGTGTCAAGTCGAGCAGAAACCGTCAAGAAACTTGGCTGTAACACAGCACCGAGTCCTAATAAAGCTGAGAACCGTCATTTCACACTTTCTTGGATGTATGTACAACGAGTCGGAGTGCCAGACATTACTCTTTGATATCTTTTATAAGTAGAACTCATAGCCAAGTAATCGATTAGCGATTTTCCCAGGTGGAATGCATTCAATGTGTGCAATTATGGCGATCAGCTTCACAACGTGACACAAAAGCCTGTGGTCCTCATGCGAAAACCTGCAAAGGGACTGCTTGTTTCATGCGTGAGTTCGTAGTCGTGCAATCAATACCTATCGGTTGCTCTTGTTGTTTCGATCAATTATTGATTTTTTTCCTAGGTCAGTGCAAGCACTGCCCAATCTACCAATACATGTCCGGATGTGTGAATTTAACTCCATGGCAAATGGCTGACATAGAAGTGAGTTGTACCAACTAATGCTTTAATACGTTTGAATTACTTACCTAATTATATTTTCGCTTTTTTATTCCTCATGTGTATTTATGAAGAACATGTAGTTGACATCGTTGCAGTCAGTCGGGGAGGAGTGGGAGGGGCGGAATGCGCCTGTTTCCGGTTGGTAGAAATGCCATCGGCTGGCGATCGGCTGGCGATTGAGTTCGGGAAAAACAGGTAGTGGTGGGAATGGGTGAGCTCACTTCATGCCTCTTAACACCGCCCCCACTGGTCGCGACGATAAGCTGTGTCACGACTCCACCCACACTGGCGCACGGTCACCCACACGCCTAACCATTGCCAGACGCGGTACTTGTGCGCGCCTCTCACTTCTGGTTGTTCTCAACTGTTGAGGCGTGCTTCGCTGCGGAAGTGTGGGGACAGCGCTGTAGTACCACTACCAGCAGATCGTTCCCGTGCGCTTTTGAGCCTGTAAGTTGCACGTTACTGTAACTGCACATGGCAAGCAACGTCCTCGCAGGTGAAGGATGTACAGTTAGTCTTTGATGAGCTACCTCCCTATCCCTGATACGGAGTAGGCGTGGCATTTGGAGGTGTAGGATTGGTTACTCGTGGGACATTCCAACTTGATACAACTGTCATCTTATTTCATGTTGGACGAAGATGTAACCCATTTTTCTCAAAATGAAAAGATCTCACCAAGAGCACAACCACCACTAGATTTAGTTGATGTACGCAGCCACGCCTACCCCATCTCAGGGATTTCGAGTGTATGTTATTGTCAACAGTCTGATGCCATTCGACCGAAAAATACTAATGTTACTTTGGCTTTACAGCGATAATGGCGTCCAAGAAATGTGCCTGTGGCCAAAATTTAGCCTAGCTTATGAGTAGCTTTTGCTGTAATATTGTGATTCTTAAAAAATTTTCACACTAATTGTGGCAGTCTCACAAATGAGTCGGGCCTTACTCTGTCCTCAGTCTAACTAGTCCAGTCCAGATGAAGCTTGCCATAGACAACGAAACCCTGACAGCAGCGAGCGATCGTCGGCGACAGCGAGCGATATGGGGCAAAAATTATCGGACTGAAAGGCGATTAGTAGTAGCGAACGACATCCAGGGGGGAAAGGCGCAATGGAAGGGATCTTCAGAGCAAGAAAAGATTTTGTTTTTCTCTCTAGCCATGTTTCATGATGGAGTTAGACAAGTAAATAGTCCATGAGGGTTCTCCAGACAGGGTACAGCATGGGGATGTGCGAAATGGCGGTGTGAGTACGACCCCCCCCCTCGAAGAGGGTCCAGATACGACCCCCCCCCCTCCTGCTCTAACTGACAACCAGATGCATGTTCACCACAAATGGCTTCCTGAAATGGAATCTGGATTTTCGAAAGGCGGACTCTGCTCTAAAATCCAGGCAATAAAGGCTGTTTCAGCCTCATGCAATATGAGGCTGAACAACAGCCTCGCATTACCTACAATTTTGTCTTAGGATTCAAAATAAAACTCGTCGTTCGACAACCATGTATGACATGCAACTTGTAACAAGGAACACAATGGAAACAGCTAGAACAGCGCCTGATATGAGCGTAGCGTCGCTACCTTCATGATTCATCCCGTATCATTTATTTTGTGTAATGATTCAAGTTTTCACACAAATTGTCCCATGAACAAGGGATTGTTATCTTTCGTGAGGATGAACAAAAACGGGTGATCAGCTCGGAATTGCACTGGTTGCTGCGTAGAAGCTGACGTCGGTCTAACTGTGATGACTGTGACGGCTGCCGCTGTTGTTCCCTCCTCATCTACCTGAATCAATCTTGGTGAAACAACAAAGAGAGAAGAATTTACGTGTGAGAGACATCTATAAACCTCGATTATAGCTCTATGAGTAGCATCTGTGACTTTGAGAGGAGGTTTC